TTTTTTTTTAGTTTCTAGGTTTTGTTTGTTTTGTTTGCTGTGGAATCACCATTGTTACCGATGGGTTTGCCACTGTAACAGTGGTCGAAAATGGAGGTCGCTGTTGTTTACCTTTTTTTAACTAAACGAGACCAGATTTGAACGAAGAACACCAGCTTGCCGAAAGATCTGATAGCTCCACCCACGCGGAGAAGATCTGAGCTCATCGATCATGAACTGACAGTGAAACTAATGACCTGACAATGGAGTTCTCGGCTTGTTGCTTGAGGTCATTGCCGGTATTACGAGTTATGACTGACATCTTCTTATAGGAGATGCAAGAGGGAGGAGATGAGGAGGTTGCGGTTGTCGCCGGCTTCCGGGGAGGGCTCCAAATGGGGAAGAAGGGCTTGGATATCATTTTCTTTTCATTTAATTATTAAATTAACAAAAATAAGTGGATAAATAAGATTTAAGCACGTGTGCTTATATAAGGACTTGGACAGATAATGCATTGGTTTGACGCGCTTATTTTTTTTGTTAAACACGCGCGTGCCATCTGGCAAACGTAGTGTGTATTAGGCACAATTTTAAAAGGTTGCGTGTGTAATATTATTATCGTCCACAGAAAATATGTAAGGGGGATTTGAGTTATAGGTTAGGTGGGTACTTATGTATTTTGCCTAATTAACTAAGTAAACTTATTTAAAGCATGCACTCTCATCCCTTTATTCTAACCACGTCAGCCTACATGTTTCATCCATCAAGCATTTTATTTCTTTTAGTTAAAATTTGTGATGTAGTTAATTTTATAGAGAGAGAGAAAGAGAGCAGAAAGCAGGAATGAAATGAAGTATGGAAAAATGTCTACTTGACCAAGTCTTAGCCAACTTCTATTTAGAAAAATTTTGCGGTTGTCCTCCAATGAGAATGGTTTTAGTTGAATGTCTATGTAAATTTAATAAATAGACTCCTCATATTTTCTTTGTGTGCGAAATGATATATTTGCACTCTTTGGCTCCTTCTTCTCCGTCTCTCCTTCTTCGCTAAGAACACCATAATTCTTTAATTTTGGAGCGAAAAATTTGAAGTTAATGGTATTGTTAAAATCATTTGAGTATTGATATTTATACTTAAACTTTTAGTTTAAATACTAATTTAGTGATTTGCTTTAAAAGTCTAAAAACTCTATTGTTGGTCCCTTGAAATTATTTAAGAAGACAAAGTGAGTCTTCTTGATTTGGTGTTATTTGACTAAATTTGTGAGTAGTGATCGGTTATGCTAGTATTTGAAATCTTTGTTTTAAATTTAAGATCATTTCGAGTATATTTGGGGTGGGTGCACATAAAAATTATGCCTATCGGGTAGACTTTGATGAATAATTTAACAGATAAGTGGACTGCAGATAATACAAAGTTACGCCAATCTGGTAAAATTTAGTGAACGAAAAATCACAAAATTATGTCAATCGGATAAAGCTTGTGAACAATTAACAATACAGATAAAGTAAATATAGCATAAACTCAACTGATCTAATAGAAAAATTCCTAAAGAGCTACGCGGGTATGGAGATTATATTTTAAATACATTCAAAAAAGGGAGACAATATTTAAAGACCAACCCCTTGGGCTATTCCTGTCAATCACCCCTACTCTAATTTGCAAAATCCATGTTCCTTACACATAAAGGCATAAAAGACAAAAATAGAAAGTTACATAAAGATATTACATAATGTGAAGTTACAGTTTGTGGTACTCACATGTCAACCTATAATTACATCTACTTTTGCAGAATCAGAACAATTCTCAACCAAAATCATAGACTCAGTTGAACCTAGTGAAGAACTCAGATTGAATTCCAACGGAGATGGTTGCAGTGATTCAAAAGGCCTAGGAGGCGTTTGCAAAGCCTGTAATTCACCTTCAAGCATTTCAACTACTTTAGTCATTGACGGACGATCGAGTGGATTCATTTGTATGCACCACAAAGCAACTAAAGTTAGCTTCTTTATGATCATTTCATCATCATGCGTCTCGTCTAGTACTTCAATTTCCTTTTCCTTGTCGAATTGATCATAGATCCAATGTGGAAAATACTGGCTTGACATATCCTCTCTTGCTGCCGAGTTTCCTTTCATACCTGCTATCTCAATCAGTAACATTCCAAAGCTATAAACATCTGCCTTATAAGATATAGGACCAATGCTTCTGTTGATGAGTTCTGGAGCTACATATCCGATTGTTCCCCTTGCTGCTGTTAGAGTAACAATGCTGTTATCCGTGGGGTATAATTTAGCAAGACCAAAGTCAGAAATTTTTGGAACGAAATTTTCATCCAAAAGTATGTTGTGCGGCTTGATGTCAAAATGTAGAATTTGTATGTCACAACCTCGATGCAAATATTCAATACCTCGAGCAACTCCAAGAGCAATTTCAGACTTTCTTTGCCAGCTAAGTAGAGTTCCTCCTTCTCGGGGTGTGATGTACTTGTCAAGTGATCCATTAGGCATGAAGTCATATACGAGGGCACGTTTAGATCTCTCAGCACAATAGCCAATAAGTTGTACCACGTTAACATGATGAATCCTTCCGATTGTGGCAACCTCGTTGATGAAGTCTTGCCCATCAGCTTTGGGCTTGGTCAAGATCTTCACTGCAACATCAGGACCACTTCGGAGCTTGCCTTTATATACTGAACCATAACCTCCTTGGCCTACTTTCTCCTTAAAATTCCTAGTCATCTTCCTTATGTTGGAATAGGGGTATTGAATAGGCATGAAATTATGCTCACTATGCAGGAAACTTTCAATTGCATCAAAAATCGACAAATGCCTTCTTCGTAATTCAATCATTAGAAACACAAATATGCATGGGAATAGTATGATTTTTGCCACAACGATATCTCCTGTACGCAACCATCATAAAGCAAGCAAGAAAAGATTGCGAATGTTTAAATTAAAATGCAACCACAAAGGTGCTATATTATGAGGAAGCTATTTCAATACTTGTCATTTCGAAATAAAATGGTTTCCAAAAGTAGCAGTAGTAGTACACCATATTTTTTGAGTACACGTTAGTGGATTAATGATTGATAGACTAAAAGCACATTCTATCCCTTTTGCTACTTTCAAAACTGTTTTAACATCATTTCATAATTATGTACCGCTTACACAATTTGCTATTTAAATTTTGAATTTGATGTTGTGCTTTCTTTATCATACTAATTTTCAACTATTACTATATTTTTTACTATACTATCCATAATATAATAAATAATCAAATAATAATTTTAACTCTGCATCTAGTCAAATTTTGTCATATAAAATGATCAGAGAGTAATAAAGAACTACTCAGTTCTTCTCTTCCTAACAAATCAATGAATTTTAAAGACAACAGATGTGGCTTACCAAGTATCCATGGGATGATTCCTGCAAGAACACCTACAATTAATGACACAGTTAATCTAACTTGCAACTATTTAATTAGCGTTTATATAATCCTTCCATATATAAAACCAGAATTGACAATAGAACGAGTGCTTACTTATAAGAACACTGAGAACATGTCTTTTATGACCTTGATTGTGGTCATCCAAAGAGAAATTCCAGAACCAAAACGAAAAAGGAAAAACAAAATATATGAATGAGAGAGAGTTTTACAGATTACATAGAAAAATGCTAAAAGAGTGTTAAGTTCTGGCACAACATCAGGAATATTCTTACCACATAAGGTTTTGAAGAATTCAAAATTGTAAACCTTGCAGGTGTAATCCTCACAACGAACATCCCTTGAATTTTCACCTTCGCAACCATAATTTGCAGGTGAGATCTTTCAGACTTGAACAGAAAAATTGCTAAAAGTGTTAAATTCTCGCATGACATTGGGAATGTTCTTACAAGTATGCACCTTGAAGAATCTAAAATTGTAATCTTTGCAGTTGATCTCCAGACAGCGAACATTCCTTGAATTTTCACCTACGCAGTCATATATATTGCGGCACTTGTTACAGTAAATGTCACCAAACCATGAAAGTTCAAACCCATATGCCAAAGCATTATGAAGCTCTAAGATTGAAACATTTGCATCATCAATAGTAGGCCATGAAGTCAGTGACATGAGGTTTACACTACACCCCACTCCCAAATCAGATGAATATAGGTTTCCCGTAGCTGCATACGTGTGTCCCTTGGAAGAAACATTGGAAGCGTCACTCCTGTTGAGACAATTAGTGATTTCCACAAAGGCGGGAGAATTCATGGCAAATGGACAGCTGAAAATAGCGATTTTCACAGCTAAAGGAGCATCAGAACCATCACTTTTAAAAAAATCATATTGAAAAGAGGGAGTGAAAAACGTGTAATCTGTAATTGAATGCTGAGGAAGAGAGCAAACAACTTGTTCTCTTATCCCAGGATCTACAAGGCGGATAGTGGAGTTATCATAATTGATGGCTTGCACATAGTAGTTCAGAGAATCTACAGCGTTCCATGAATATGTGGCGTTCAGAGAATCTAAAAATGTAAATATCGTTAATATGGTGCGATTTCCTTTGCAGCTTAATTCATATTTTTCGTCGCCACAGTGCTTTGGATCAGTTTTCAATCGAAAGGGGTAGCTGATGTTCTTAATATGCCCACAACTAGAAGGTGCACAACGCTGGTTCTGTTTGGCAAATGGGGTGTCAGAGAGCTGCAAGAAGATGAGAATCGTAAGAACTGAAAGAAATTTGGTTCCTCCAGACATTATTATGGTTAACTATGTTTGTTTTTGGGTTTTTCCCTTTCAGTACTGGTGCCAAACACTGCTAGTAGTATTCAAGAAGATAAATTTTTCATCCCCTCCTTTTCTTGGCCGAAAAAATACCAATTATGCTGTTGCAAAAGAAAGAAATGAAGTCACTAAATCCTGAAAGAAAAGTCAGTCTTCACAAAGAAAGAGAAGTCATTACTGTACAAATTCATCAAATAAAACAAAAGTCCAAGTCTTGACAAAGAAAGAGAGTCATTAATGGATGCAAGAGTTTTCTTGATAATGTACAGTGTACACAGATAAAAAAGAGACACCAACATTGACTTTTGGTCCAACCAGCAAGTCACCTCGGGGTGCCGTGTGACTACCCAAATCCTAACCTGTCGTGATGGTGCATCGTGGTACTAGGCAAGCCGATATTTCTAAAATACTTCTAAAATTTTACAGAAAATAAATTAAGATATTTTGGATATTCACAATTTTCACAAAACGGGGTAACAACCCAAACACAAGTGCGGAAATATAACTCCCAAATCAGGGTGTCGCAGAGCTCATGAGCGTTTATACCATCGATACAAATAAAGAAAAGACAAGGAAGGAGAAACAAGGAGTGCGAATGCCGGGTAGCTACCTCGTGAATCTCCGACAATCAACCGCGCACGAAATCAATGCCCACCGTGTCCGAAAACACCTGGATCTGCACATGAAGTGCAGGGTGTAGCGTGAGTACAACCAACTCAGTAAGTAACAATAATAAATAAGGAACTAAAAGCTAGTGATGTGCTACACAGTTATAGTTTATTTTCAGTAATTTCAGCAAGAAAGTAGACATGCTTTCAAATCCGGCAATTTAAGTCAAATCAGTTTATATATTACCAAGTTCAAGTAAAACCGTATATAATATCTTCCAGATATTTCAAAAACAGTGACATATAGCAGCTAAGTGCAACAACAAATGAAAGCAAGTACAATCTCTCAGGGCAACAGTCAGTCAACCTTTCTCAATAGCTCAATCACTCGGTTCTCAGCCCTCGACACTCACACTCAATAGGTAACTGCGCTCACTGGGGGTGTACAGACTCCGGAGGGGCTCCTTCAGCCCAAGCGCTAAATCGTTGCAGCGTGCATCCCGATCCATAATATATAAATATCCATAAGGCTCGTTGCAGCATGCAATCCGATCTATANCGTTGCGACGTGCAACCCGATCCATGTACATACAGCCCTCAAGATCGTTGCGGCGTGCAACCCGATCCATATATGCACATATAGCTCACAGCTCGGCACTCAGGCCCTAACTTAGTCACCAACCTCTCCAGTCTCTTGAGCTCTCAGAAATTGGATATAATAATATGTATCAACAAGAAACAAGAAGAGACTAAGATATGATACGCAAGTAAAACCGTGACTGAGTACAAGACAGAAAATAGCAAATAATTCAACAAGTACATGAGCTCTACGGGTCCCAATACTGTCATCATATAGCCTAAGCATGATTTCTAACATGATTTGCAGTCAAATTTCTATAACATAGGGAGAGCATATAGCTAAAAACAAGTTATTCAACTTTATAGTTCCACGGAATGGACCAAGTCCCAATTCCTACGGTGCACGCCCACACGCCCGTCACCTAGCATGTGCATCACCTCCAAACTAATCACATAACGCATAATCTGGGGTTTCATACCTTCAGGACCAAATTTAAAACTGTTACTTACCTCAATCCGAGCAAAACTCTACTCCAAATGACCTGAATCTCGCCATAAGTAGTACAATAGAATCAATATAGGCTAAGAAATCAATTCCACAAGAAAAATACAAAATTATAGCTAAAATTCGAAATCGGCTCAAACCCGGCCCCCAGGCCAACGTCTCAAAATCCGATAAAAGTCACAAAACCTGAAAGTCATTCACTCACAAGTCTAACCATACCAAATTTAATCAAATATGATAACAAATTCACATTCAAAACCACAAAATTCTAGCCCAAGAACTCTTCCTTATGTTCCTCAATTTTTCACCCCAAATCACCAATTAGATGATGGAATTAAAGGCATAATCATGGAATTTGTCCAAAATTAGATAGGAATCACTTATCCCAAACACCCATGCAAGAATCTCTCCAAAAATCGCCTTCTACCAAGATCCCACTTCAATTTTATGATATAAACTCAAAACCCTCGTTTTGAATCTTTTAGACCTGCCCAGATATACCTTCAATCGCGATCGCGGAAAATACCTTGCGATCGCAAAGCACAACTATAATTCCCTACAATTTTATCCCTATGTGAACGCGGAATCCCCTATGCGATCGTGGATCACTACCCCTCAAACCTACGCGATCACATCATGCTTCACGCGATCACGTAAAGTAATTGTCTGACCTCCTTTTTTGCTCAAATCCTTCTACACAAACGCAGCCTTAGCCACGCGTTCGCGAAGCACAACTTAGCACACTTACGCGATCGCGTTCCTGACTCTACAATCGCATAGAACAAAATTACCTTTTCCCTAAATAAGCTTACGCTATCGCAAATCAATTCATGGGATCGCGTACAAGGAAACCAGAAATGTAGAACACCAACAGTCTTCAGCTATCAAGCTAAGTCCAAAAATGATTTGTTAACCACTCGAAACTCATCCGAGGCCCCCAGGACCTCAACCAAACATGCCATCAAGTCCAAAACATCATACAAACTTAGTCGAACCCTCAAATCACCTCAAACAATATAAAAATCACGAATTGCACATGGATTCAAGCCTAATAAACTTTGAAATTTCCAAATTCCACAAACGACGAAACCTATAAAATCACGTCTGATTGACCTCAAATTTTGCACACAAGTCATAAATGACACCACGAACCTACTCCAACTTCCGAGAATCCAATCCGATATCAAAAGTCTACTCCCGGTCAAACTTTTTAAAATTTTAATTTTCGCCATTTCAAGCCTAATTCTACTATAGACCTCCAAATCACAATCCCGAAATGCTCCTAAATCCAAAATAACCTAACAGAGCTAATGGAACCATCAAAATTCAAATCCGAGATCTTTTACACATAAGTCAACATCCGGTCAACTTTTTTAACTTAAGGTTTTAATTAATAGACTAAGTGTCTCAATTTACTATGAAATCTCTCAAACCCGAACTAACTAACCCGGTAAGTCATATAACAGCTTATAGTACAAAAGAAGTAGAAAATGGGGGAATGAGGCTACAACTCTCGAAACGACCGGTCGAGTCTAGAGACATACTTGGAGTCTCAAATAGGTGTGGATATCTGCTCTGCATCTCCCTCTTGGTCTCCCAAGTAGCCTCATCTACGGGCAGACCTATCCACTATGCCTTCACCGAAACTATATCCTTTGACCTCAACTTTCGAACCTGTCGATCAAAAATGGCCACCGGCTCTACATCATAAGTCAAATCACCATGCAACTAAATCGTGCTGAAATCCAAAACATGAGACGGATCGCCGATATACTTCCGGAGCATAGAAATATGAAATACTGGATGCACACTCGACAAGCTAGGTGGCAAGGCAAGTTTGTAAGCCGCCACCTCCCCAATCTTCTAAAGTACCTCAAAGGGTCCAATAAACCGATGTCTCAACTTGCCCTTCTTCCCGAACCTCATAACACCCTTCGTGGGTGAAACTTTAGCAGAACCTTCTCCCCAACCATGTAAGCAACATCACGGACCTTCCTGTCAGCATAACACTTTTGTCTAGACTGCGCCGTGCAAAGCCGCTCATGAATTAATTTAACCTTGTCCAAAGCATCCTAAACCAAGTCAGTACCTAATAGCCTAGCCTTACCCGGATCAAACCAACTCACTGGACATCTACACCACCTCCTATACAAAGCCTCATATGGAGTCATCTGAATGCTCGACTAATAACTGTTGTTGTAAGCAAACTCCGCGAGTGGCAGAAACTAGTCCCATGAACCCCCAAAATCAATGACACAATCACATAACATTTCCTTCAATATTTGAATACTGCGCTCGGACTTTCCATCCGTCTGAGGGTGAAATGTTGTGCTCAAGTCAACCTAAGTGCCCATCTCTCGCTTCACGGCTCTCCAAAACTGCAATGTAAATTGCGTGCCTCTATCTAAAATAACAAAAACTGGCACACCATGAAGGCGGACAATCTCTTGGATGTAAATCTCAGCCAACCGCTCTAAAGAATAAGTAATACCAACCAGAATAAAGTGCGCGGACTCGGTCAGCCGATCCACAATCACCCAAATTGCATCGAACTTCCTATAAGTCCATGGGAAACCAACTACAAAATCCATGGTGACCCCCTCCCACTTCCACTCTGGAATCTCTATCCTCTAAAGCAAGCCACCTAGTCTTTGATGCTCATGTTTTACCTGCTGACAGTTAAGACACTGGGCTACAAACTTAACTATATCCTTCTTCATTCTTCACCACCAGAAGTGTTTCCTCATGTCCTGATACATATTCGCGGCACCCGGATGGTTGGAATACCGCGAGCTATGGGACTCCTCAAGAATCAACTCCCGTAACCCATCTACATTGGGCACACATATCCGGCCCTGCATCCTCAACACCCTATCATCTCCAATAGTCACATCTCTAGCATTACCGTGCTAATCCATATCCTTGAGGATAAGCAAATGAGGATCATCTTACTGGCGCTCTCTAACGCGATTGTATATGGTCGAAATCGGGGGAGCCCGATTTCGGAGACAAAGTTATTACCCCGAGCTCGAGTACGAATGGATCGAATTTGGAGTAAAGTCTAGCTAAAAAGTGCATATTTCGGGGATCAAATCGATGGCTGAACAGGATCCACCTCGAAATAGTGCCATTATGAATCTATACTAGAATGAGCGGGAATTTCCGAATGGAACAAAGATCAAGGCATAAATTTCGGAATGTATTTGTACGAATTAGTACAAATCCGTACTAGTTGGTTAAATAGCTGTCCCAATAGGATTCTTTACTGTAAATAGTTATGTACCTTATTTAAGGTTTCCCTTCCTATATAAAGGAGACCACAATCATTTGTAAACATCATCTAATCATTGGCAAAGAATATACTCTCTACTTTTCGCTCATTGTTCATCAGAATGGTCCTTTAAACTTTATAATTCTTACTTTACTATTCTTGATTCACCTTGAGGTCATTGAGCTCGAGGTCGACACTGCTTCAGTAACACTGCTTTGGTTCACTTATTACTTTCTTTTATACCT